AAATTATTATTAATCTAAATATGAGAAGATAAAATTCAAAAAAAGCAAAATATCAAGTTTTTTTTCAGATAAATCATGCATGTAAGCAAAATATTACTTAAGATTTAACACAATACTTTATATATATGATCAATTCATTGAAATTTTCTATTTCCATCGAAGATTATTTCATTTTCGAGGAGAGTACTCTTATGAAGTGCTTTCTATTTGAGTGACATAAATGTCTTGTAGGAGGTTTGCATTTTTTTTCTTGAATCAATAAATTATTTATTATTAGTTGTTTTACTTATATTATTTGATTTTTCTGTGTAAGAATCAAATAAGTTATGGTGCGAATATTTTGACACTAAATATTCGCTCCTTCTTTTGGGCTACTTAGAGACAACTGGTTAGAGCCAGAAGCAGTTAGTTACGAACAGAATTCTATTCTGAGTGAACATTGGAGATAGAGTTTTGCATCAAACTCCAAAACTCAACTTCGACTCCACCGTAGTCTTCGTAAATAATAGAAATTTCAAAATCTCTATTTCATTCTTTTCTTATGTAGCATTTTATTGTTAACAATGGTAAAACTGTCAATCCAATAGACAAATAATATGAAATTATTTTTATAATATTCTAGCGACCTTGAATTATACAATATCGTCATACACGTAAGCTGTCGTTAATTCACAGAAAAAAGTTCAAAATAGTCAAGGTACAGAATACTATAGTAGTCAATTTTGTATTTCGATTGAAACCAAATAAATTCAAATGTGAAATAAATTTTAATGACTCAGTTTTCTAGAGCGACCTTTGATCTCTAAAGCGTGCTACTTACTTTTAGTATGGGAGATTTTACAACTTTTGTATTTTTAAAAGCAGATTTTGAAATAGCGATTTTTTTATCAAGGCCAATTTCTATAGAACCTAGATCTTTAATCTCCTGGATTCCGACAAATTCTTGCGTTCTGCACAAAGATACAGAAAAGTTAGAAAATCATTTTCTCTTGCGTTCAGTCATGGTCAATTAGCTGTATACATGTGATATATTCTATTACATATAAACTATCTTCTATATACTTGCTCTATATTATCAGCTGTCTATCGATACAACAGAACGCAAAAAACTTTTCTTCGTTCTGCTTGTCTTCACCCTGAAGACAGCGGTATCCAAGAGGCTACCCCCCCCCCCCCCCCCCCCCCCCCCCGCCCCCCCCCCCCCCCCACACTCCCCACCCCCNTCGTCGGATCACCGTTTTTTATGCTTATTTTAAGACATGTATACCAAAATATTCATAAAAAATCAATAACACATAATTAAAAATTCTGTCTGATGAAAAGTTGCGTACTGACATTGGCTTTAATTTGAAACCAACCCGAGCCCTGTACCTTGTACTATGACGGAGTGATGTCGATTTTCCTGAATGAAAACCGCGTTTTGAGAAAAACGCTAAAGAAGTTTTAGAAATGAAGTCTTTCATTCAAGTGCAGGAAATAATAGTATATTGATGATATTTATGTGGAATTTTTGAAAGCATTATTAAAAAAACAACAAGTATCAATTATTCTTCATATGAAGACTTACAGATTATACAAATGAATTTTTTTTATTGAAGAAATTTTTGTTGTAAAACGAAACAAAAAACAAATAGATTTCATAACAAACTAATACTACGCAAAACAAGACCAATATTTTTTATGTTCTTGTTTGACAAGATCAATTTTTTGACGAACATCACTATTTATATCAGTAGTATTTTTCCATTTGTCATTATTAATTAATGATAATTTGCCAATAAGAACAGAAAGTACAGTTTGAACATAAGATATTCTTGAAGATATGCAAGATAAATCACCATCGAGAGCAACAACAAGTTTACTACCACTAATCATACTTAATTGTTCAATAATCCAAGCATAACATAGTTCTGTTAATTGTTGAATATGAAAATCAACGCAAACAATAATTAATTCTGGTTTAAATATTTTTGTAGTAGGTAAAACCAGTTCATTAATAATACGAATATAATCTTTGTCATTAATTGTATCTATTGATGCTAAAGGAATATTCATAGTATAACCAAGTCCATCATTTTTTCCACATTCATGATAACTTGATTTATGTGTATGATTTTCATTATGTATTGATATATAAAAAACTTGATCAGATTCATAATAAATTGATTGAATTCCACAACCATGTTCACATGTTAGATTAATAATAAGTACACGTTCAATTTGAATATTATTATTATTATTATTATCCGTAATTGTCGATATGTTAGAATCAATTGGATAATCAGTTATTGATGCTGGACTTAATACATGTATCATATGACAAATAGCATTTTCAATAGGTGTTGCACCTTGCATATCTGAACGATTTCTTGTATCAAATAATGTTAATGAATTTTTTCGTTTATTAGGTTTAATTTTCTTCATAAGAATAGAATTAATTCCTAATGCTATATTATTATATATAGATGTTCCATTGCCATGATCACGTGATGCACGATGACCAGGTGATGTTGTAAGTATAAAACCATTCATGTGTTTATCAAGAGCATTTTGTATAACATCAATTGTTATTCCAGCACTGAAACGTGCATTCGAAAAAGTTGTTTCATTATATTCTATTTGAAAATGATTATTTGAAGTATCTAAATGATTTTTTTCAGCTGATACAATCATATTAACATAATCACTTGAATGTAAGCATACAAGTTCATCAATAGATGCTGAACGAACTTTAATTGTATAACAATAAGATAAAAGATCAGTTTTTTCAAGTTCATCTGACAATAAAAGATCTTGTATAGCAATTATTGTTGATGGATTTTGAATGCTTTTCTTTGCAACTAATTTATTAATTGTATTTGTATAAAATTGATTTTCATTATCATTTGTTGATAGTAAACCAAATTTAATTGATTCAAGATGTTTTATTAATGGATTAAGACGAATATTTTTTATGTATGATTTACATGGATAACACCAGACAGATAAATCTTGAAGACTTATTGTTAAACAATGACCAATATTATAGTGCCCATCTGTAAGTAATGTAAATAACCAATGTTCTTCTCCATGATTGTTTATATAACGGCTACAATGAATTTCACAACATGATAAACATAACCAATTTTCACTTGTACTTTCACAATCGACACAGTGTTTATTATTAATATGATTTAATTTTTCAAATAATTCTACATATTGAACATGTTCACAAGTTTGTTTAGGTATTATAATACCACCATGATCTGTTTCAGATGTTAATTCAACATCGTCATCTAAATAATTCTCCAAATTTGCTTCAACATTCATCTATAATTTATCGAAAAGAAACAAAATATTAAAAAAAAAAGACATGATTTGTAATCTGATATTAAACTCATCAACTAGACTGATCTGATAATATCATGCAATAATCTAAGAAGTACCTGCGGGTAAAGTATAAAAATACAAAAATAATACGACTAAATAAAATTAGCAAGGCGAGAAAACAGAATTATATATATATATATATCACGCCATCATTTCTCGGTTCTTTAGTATTTCTCTCGTACGTCAATTATCGAAAGAAAAATATCCGTACACTTGTATGCGATGTAAACAAACCTTTTATGAGACGTTTTGTTGTCACCATGAATCATTTTCAAAAGAAAACAATTCATTTGATTGGATTCATGTCATTATTATTAAAGATAATTTCCTCAAAAACAAAAATAAACCTGAAAACAGTTATTTAATATAATTTACTTATTAGCAGATATAACAATTTTTATGATGTGTTCATTAAGTACAACGATAAAAAGAAAAAGAGAATTAAGTTCATCAACAAAAAAAAAACTATGCGTGATTGATTATGCCTGATCAACTATTTGCTAAACGTTAACATTTTTCTCTGTATTCGTTCTCTTATCTTTACTTTGACGTGCGTACATATTACAAACGTAATAGAGCTCGAAAAAAAAAACAAAAAGAAAGAAATACAAATATGAGACATGCATTATGATGCTGCTGATTGAAGACTGAATGCATTATTCTCTGTAGCATACATATGCATATACGATTTATTCTTTTGTATTTCTTTTCAGAATAGTTGAAAAAGTAATATTCACTGACCGTGAATAATTCATATAAAATTGATCGTGTTTATTTTTAGTTCAAATAATAATACGATCCGATTGTTGAGAAATCTATCATTCTTGTTGAAAAATAAAATGTCATTGTTACATGTTAAAAAAATACGAAAGTTTGACTTCTAAAGGTTTTAATTGATTAGGCAAAAGAAAACAAGGGCGAATCATGAGTCAAGTTTGATGTTAATACATCTAAAAAAGGTCATAATAATAAATTAAATTATATTTACGGACTCAATAAAAGATTGGAATTTGTTTTTGAAATATTTGTTTGTATTTTTTTTCACATAAACATGTCAACAAAATTTTTGTAAATCTTCACAATTATATATAAATTCCATCTGAGGCAGATGTTTAAGACATATTTCATCAGACATGTCAGATATTTTGTAATAATGACTGTGAAATTATTCGTTTGTGTTAATGGAGAAGTAATTTAGTACAATTTTTTTCCTTTGATGTTTGATACATCGTTTCTATTAAAGAGATATTTTTATTAATAGTGAATATTCGTCATCATAAAAAACAAATTTTGTTACTTGAATTGTTTCTTATTATTGACTGTCTATAATATGTAACAAAGAAACAGAATAGATGGCAGTTCTTACCAGAGAAATAATGTTTCGTAAAATACGATGATCTATTTATTGTATTCAATCAAAATAGATTGCAATTGCATGTTCAATCAATAAAAAAAAATCAATTTTCCGCAAGACTTAAATTCGTCAAAAAAATCTTTTTTCTCATTCTTTACTTTCTCGACGAATCAATATTGGTATTTCATTACGATTTTGAAATATCTATGAGCGACTACATAAAAATACTAAAATAAATATTCTCTATGAAAAAAAAAATCTTCTCAATTAAATAAAAATGCCATTTATAGAATTAATTCCATTAAATAAAGGCAATCATATTATTCTTGATGATACTATCATAACAACAATTGGTCGTACACCAAACATTGGTTGTTTAGATAATAAAATATCTCGTAATCATGCTCAATTATTTATTAAATCTGATGGAACATTATGGATAAAACCTATACATCATAATCCAACATTTTATAAAACAAAAACAAATCAAATAGTTACTCTAACAAAAAATAAAGAATATCAATTACATCATAATGATCAATTTGGTCTTTTACCAGATGAATATTTTTATCGAGTTTCTATTCAATCAAAAGATAAACAATTAGAAAAGCTTTCTGATTCAAATCAAATAATAAATTCATCAACAATACCAAAATCTTCAATTAAAGACAATGAAGTTTTAACAATTGAGAATCATGATGAGAAGAAATTCGAAGTAACAACTAGTTCCATTTCGGATAAAACTCGTGCATTACCAACTTGGATGTCTAATAGTTCAATATCAACATCATCATCACATGATAAAGAACAAAACAAAGAAACATCGATCACTACTTCATCGACTATAAAGCAAACATGTAAATATTATCATTTTCTATTATTGGAATTTTCATCAATTATTATCTATTAATTAGATTCTGAGGGAAAAAAGACTAAAGAGATTGTTTATGATGACGATGATGCTGAACTTACTTCAGTTACTTCTTCCACAGGTTGAAAATTTTTATTTATTTTCCTAATCTGATAATATTAATTTGTTTTGTATTATAGAACAAGCTAGTACATCTAATGATGTCGATCTAACTACAAATTGTCAAACATCATCAATAGTTAACAATCCTATCAAACGTGAACGATGTCCATATGGAGAATCGTGTTATAGAAAAAATCTAGCTCATCGACAACAAGCTATTCATCCTGGTGATTCAGATTGGAATGCTGAAGAAAATAATAAAAATAAAACAAAACCTGAATGTCCATATGGTAATGAATGTTATCGAAAAAATTCTGATCATTTGAATGAATATCATCATCCTAAAAAACGATGTATTGAAATTAAATCTAAACAACGCACAACTAAACGTAAAGGTAACATATTCTCTAATACATATATATATATATAATCGTTTACTTTTCAGCAAATGAAGATGAAGATGATGATGATGATGGTTTACCAAATGAATATGATTATAATGATAGTTTTATCGATGATGAAGAGCTTGATGATAGTAACCGTATTACTGATCAAGAAGGTACATTTCCTATAATAAATATCTGACTTTTCTTTTCTTTTTTTTTGTCTCATTTTTATTTATTTGTTTTCTTTATTATAGAGATTATTGAATCTGACGATGATACTGAATGGAAACCACCAAAAAATTCTCGGTGTTTTGATGAATCTGATGATGATTCGTCAGATGATAGTGAAATTGATTTAACTAAACAAGAAGCAGTTGAATTTGTCAAAGGTTCAACTGCTGAAAATCATGGTCCAGTCATTAAAAAACCCCGTTTTGAAGACGAAAGTGATGATTAATTCTCTAGTTATTTTTATTTTTATCATTGTACAAAACAATTAATTGTATATAGCTTACTTTTCGCCAATGATTGTTTTCTATTTGTTTGATGTTAATGAAAGCATATAGCTTATCATAATGAAATATATATGTCATATTGATATATTGAAAAAAAGCTTATTTGTATGCAGAGAATTGTTTATTCAGGAAAACGCCAATAAAATTATTTAATCTGTAGTCATAGTAAGAAGATTGTTTTCTGATTTTTAATAAGTCATAGACATCCAAATTAATGGATCAATCTCATACAGGAGATTAGCCTGAGATTTTCATCTTATATGTAGTCTTATTGTGTTTTCCGATGCCATAACATGCTTGCAAACAAAGCATAATAAAATAGAGTGCTACAGAATCTGCTTTTTCTTTATAATGAAAGAGTAGATTATTAGTCTTTCTATGTGAGTGAATATTTTGTGCTTCTCCAAATATGTTGCATCTAAAAATAGCTTCGATTAAACTCTCATTATTATACAGATTTGAATATATCTAAACTTAAATTCTCGATCAAGAGTTATTTCTAGACTATTGGAGACTAGTGCTATTACGACCGTAGTTTCACAGGTCTCTATGGTAGAAATATTCTACATCTGACTTGTCAAAAATGATGATATAGTTTTTCGTTGTCTTATTTAAGTTTCTATGTTGAGGGGGGATCATTTTTTCTTCTCTTCATCTATATGAAAACATTGCTTTCTTCTTTTTAAATAGTGTAATTATCATACAATAATTGTAAATTTGATTTCATCACAACTTTTCAAAAAGTTCAAACATCAATAACCATTTAATTAACAGCAAATTTCGAAATCGATGATCTCTCGTTAGTGTAAAGATTCGATTAGTTCAAATTCTACTCACATTAATCTTATAGAAAAAGCATGCCATTACTAGATATTTTGCTATATTTTCATTGTATCCATAAAAAATACACGTTCGAATTGAAATTAGTAGAAAGAATTGTGCTAAACTGAACTTTTCAAAAAGATATTTGAAATTCTGTATGATATTAATCATAACTTTGATTGAGTCTCCGAAAATGAAATCTAATCAACTCTCACTTATTTCTGATCAAGAAACAGTCTTACTGAACACTTTCTTTTCCAACACTACTAAAAAGATAAAGAAAATACAAAGATCGAAATCATAAAAATTCTTATCAATTTCAAAGTATTAATCTAGTTTATGATTTAATATATCTATATAAAAAACTGATCCATAATATATCTTAATAATCTAATATAACAAAAAAATTCGAATCACAATACAGAAAAAAGTTTTCTTTTCCTTTTCAATACTTTATACACAAGGAAAACATTATTTATTTATACATTTAATAATTACTGTGAATACGAGCCGATTGTATCTAATTGACTGTTTCAACTTGAAATTTTTCTATATTATCGTTAGTAAGAGCAAAAATTCTGTAAAATTCTGTTCACTGCTCTGTCACATTTTATTATCGTTGTTGATGTGATGATATAGAAGACTTTGATTTCTTAGTTACTCTAGCTACAAGAGTTTTTTAAACTAGATAAATGATGAACTTTTCTTTTTTGAGTATCACATATAGTAATAATTGGTCAGAAATTCTCATGAAAAATTGTTTTATATGGTACAATTTATTAGCAGTCTTTTAAAGCAATTCCATCTAAAATATAGTCAACTGAAAATAGTTTTCTCTTGACGTCTGTATTCTATTTCTTCCAGTGATAGAGAATTAGAATGAATTGGAAACAAAAACAAAATCAATGAAATTGAATAAAGATCGATTCATAGTGTATATAAATACACGTGAATTAAATTTATCGCACTACGTTGTATAATATACAAAGATGTCTTCACGCTAAATTTGACATGTCAACTGATTGGAAACTTTTATAATCTTATAAACAATCACAATATAGATACAAAATATACTTTTTGAATCCTATATTAGGATTGATTGATTTTTCATTTAAAGAAAACAAATCTTATCAACAAAAATCAACTTCTCTTTTTACCATCATTGGCTTCCAATGATACTTTATTCTCCATCAAGCAGAAAGAACCTACAGGCATCAGAATTCACCATGAATTTTGAAACAACAAGATGTAATGTTTTTGTTTATTTCTACCTTCAATATCATTTACAGCATTCTAACGAGAGGGAGAAAAAAAAACTCCGAGACATAATAAATAGAAAATGCAATGCGCCACTGCCTATGACATCATGTTGCAGTGACTCATATTTTTCATTTGTTCGTTGTCTTGCCAAAAATACAGGTAATCATAAATAAAAGAAAAGAGGAATGAAGCACTCAAGTGAAACGAAAAGAAAAATTGAACTCAAACGCTAATAATATTTGAAAACAAATAGAAACATCTAGAAAAAATTTCAACATACTATATAAACTCAGGTCATCTTATTTTTATGTTTTTATTGCTCAAATATTATACACACCATGAACAAACAGAAAAAAGCCGACAACAATAGCAGCTGCTGTCGACAGAACATCTGAATTTACGAGCATAGCGCCACGACGGTCTCCTTATTCTCTTATGGCTCAAAACGTTTTGCTTGTCTGGCTCGATAGCAGCATCAATCCCGAAAAAGATGAGGATTGCAAGCACATTGAATTCAAAATTAAAAGAAACTGTCAACAAAGTCCATACATTCACAGATATCGATGAATGTATAGATTTTATAACTGACGCTGAAGAAGAGAAAATATTTATGATCGCTTCTGGTACGCTGACCCAAACCACAGTTCTCATCATATATGACATACCTCAGATCAGTACAATTTATATTTTTTGTACAGAACAAATTCGGCATGAACAATGGTGTAAACAATGACCAAAAATAAAAGGGGTCTTTACAGATATTGCTTCTATCTGTAAAACCCTTTAACGAGCATCACAAGAATATAATCAAAACTTCATTTCAATCAGTTTGCTCATCACTGGTAGTGAAGGTAGCAAGCTTGAATCTAAACCAACTAGATTATTCATCCATGTACACTCAAATAATGAAAGAAACTGTAGTAACCATTTCTTTCGAACTACATCATATAGATGAATTTCGTACATACTGTCACAATGTTTTCGTCGACAATCTGGATGAATTTCATCACGTCATCAAACTCGAACAAGAATATCACAAGCATCTTCCGATTTGGTGGTATACCAAGCATTGTTTTCTCTATTCATTTCTCAATCAATCCTTACGAATGATGGAGGTCGATCTCATAAGCACGGGATTTTGTTTTCATGCAGTTCCCGACACCGCGCCGCCTCCGGAGACCCACACCCCCGGCGCAAG